CTAGTCCGGTAAGAAGTGAACCAGCGTCGTAGGACCGGAAACCCAGAGTTTTCCCTGAAGTTAGCTTGCTAAGCGAAAATCCTGCTTCGTAGTACAGGCCTAAGGTGGCCAAAATTAATTAATTTAGCTTGTGTTTATTTGATAAACCAAACCTTGAGTCTTCCATCTGTATTTGCAGGTACACATGAAGCAAGTGATGTCTGCAGTGTGGCAGCAGGGTCTGGATGTAAGCTACCTGAAAGAGCAGGTAGAACAGTCCAGATTTAAATGTTTGCTCTTTAGTATTACCCACAGTGTAACAGCACACCCTATCTGTGATTGCTTCACATTGCGTTTGCTGTTTTTGAGGCAATACTCTTCTGGGCTAACTCTTTAGCTAACCTTGTTGTGCGTGCACGGTATCCCATCAGGCCATGGGAGAGCCGCTGATGAGGGAGGTGATCAGTGAGTACTGCCAGCAGGTGCTGGGCGGCGGCCCCCTGCAGGGTGAGGCTCTGCTCGCAGCCTTCAAACCCAGAGGTTACTCAGAATGTATTGTCATAGCCGGAGGAGAGGATCGCAAGTAAGTCACTGTTCACCATTTACAATTTTTTTATCAATTTATCTTATCGGACTTAGCAGAACCCTCAGGCTCCCAGGCTAATCTGGGCAGGACCACAAAGCGTCAGGGATGCGGCTAGTGCGGACATTTCTTTTATATGTGTATACATATAGTGATTAGGGTGGTCCTTTGTGCCATGTCAATTTTCGAATTCATTTATTTTAAGCTCCAACCACCGGAATATGTTATAATAGTCAAGAAAACTCCCCTGGTGAATTTTATTCAAATTCCAACAACATTTACCCCTCCCTCATCAACCTTGAAGTTTAGCCTCAGTAGGGTGGTCCTTAAAATTGAAAGTGGGAAAGTCTAAGCTCCAACCCCCAGAATTAATTCTATTAGTCAAGAAAACTCTCATGGAGAATGTTTTCCTCAATCTGACAACATGTACCCCTATCTCATGGACCTGGGCTGCCACACCAGCAGCAGGGTGCTGCAACTGAGGCTAAACTTCAAGGTCGATGAGTGGGGGGTAAATGTTGTCAGATTGAGGAAAAAATTCTCCAGGAGAGTTTTCTTGACTAACAGAATGAATTCTGGGGGTTGGAGCTTAGACTTTCTGACTTTATATTTTAAGGACCACCCTAATAATGATATATACTGTATATCTCCACCAGAACTGTAATAATAATAAGCTTTGATGTTTTGCGGACAGGCTTATTGTTCATTTATGAGCTACAAAGAAGCTCTTCACTCCACACACATTTTTAGGAAAAGATAATGATATAATTATGACAGATAAATAGTGTTATTTTACACTGAAATGTGGTTAAATTAGTCATGAGTTCCCAAAATCACATGTTCTGCTAACATGCTACCACCTGATGGATTTGTCCTGTACAGAACCAGGAAGCCGACCTCTGAGACGCGCTGCATGTGTCCGCTCTACGACTCCAGCAGGCAGGCCTGGATTACGCTGCAGCCCATGAGCGCCCCCCGCCTGGGCCACGGGGTCGTCACTGCCGGTCAGTGCGGCCCAGCCATAACCTGAAGTCCTACAGGAAACATATCTGTAGCTAGTCATCACCTGAATGAATGATCATCATTAAGAATTAAGATAAATTGTACTATCTAAGTATAATAATCCTACTCTGCTTCTGTCTATTAGAGGGTTTTCTGTTTGCGATCGGCGGAGCAGATGAACACAACACAGTCCTAAACAGTGGAGAAAAATATGACCCTGACACCAACACCTGGAGCCCTATAACCCCAATGCTACAGGTACGACTGCACTTCTACTGAGAGAAGCACTTTCATCCCTCCACTAAACTATTTAAACGGCTGATCTTTACTGTACAATTCTTTCTGACAATTTCTCTGCCCTTTTTCTTTTCTTTTACTACACTGAGTGATTTGAAAAAAACTAAACTTGACACAGACAAATCAACCCCTTGTCCCTTATGCCGCTTTATAGGAAAAGTCATTCACATTATATTTTGAATATTTGTTGTTGTACACTCATCAATACTTATGAATGCAAATCAAACTTAAGATATATTGTTAGAGATGTTATTATTTTGATCAATAATAATATCAGATTCATTTCATATACTGTAAACCATTATCTAAATTGTTGCTTAAAAGAGCTGTGGAAGACATAACAGCAATCTTGCATCACGTGTGTGGAGCTTCTGTGGGATTGAGTGTGTCTCATTGCTGCTTTTGATCTCGACACAGCCGCGTCAGAACTTTGGCGTGGTGGAGCTGGACGGTCTTATCTACGTCCTCGGAGGAGAGACCACAGAAAGAGAGCTGACCACTGTGGAGGTGTTCGACCCTCACTGCAGTGCCTGGAAAATGCAGACCAGTATGACCATGATCCGCAAGGTAACAACACACATATTAATATCACATTGACAAGATAGTAGGACATGTAACTCAGTTTATGACTGAGACAAAATATGATCACAACAGCAGTAACCTCTGTATCCCAAATGTACTGTTAAGATAATGTTGCAAAATAAATTCTAGAATATCAGAAATAAAGCAGGGAATGGTAATATCGCTCTGAATTATCATATCGAACCTAGGTAAAAAATCAGAACACACTATTTGCCACGCAAATTCACGCTTGTGACGTCAACTCCAACTGTTGAAGACTGCAAACACAGCACCCTAATGCCCTCATCCTAATCTCTGGAGAATTCAATCATGCCTCTCTCAAAAACTCTGCCCACATTCAAATAATATGTCCCCTGCACCACCAGAGACGATAAAACACTGGACCTACTGTGTGCCAACACCAAGGAGGCATACAGCTCATCTCCCCTTCCTCTCCTTGACAGATCTGACCACAACCTGGTTCACCTCCAGCCTGTGTACCAACCTCTGGTCCACAGACTGCTGGTGTCCTCACACACTGTGAAGAAGTGGTCTGAGGAGGCCCTGAAGGACTGTTTTGACACTACTGCATGCATCAACATCGTGGAACAGAGAGGATTATATAGAGGGAGCTGAGGTGGAAGATCAGAGAGGGGAAGAACAGCTACAGGAAGAGGATGGAGGAACAGCTGGAGAGGCCTGAAGACCATCTCTGGCTACAAAGAGCCAGACTCCCAGGTCCGGGGGGACCAGCAGTGGGCAAACGACCTGAACATTTAACAGATTTGACCAGTCTGGTGCCCCTCCCCCTCCCTATTCCCCCTACTGCAGTGCTTCTCAAACTTCTTTCAGTAATGTACCCCCTTTGAAAAATGTTCTCAGCCAAGTACCCCCTGACCGACCCCGAACATTTTTGATCGAAAAAGCCTATACAAATAATTACAATATAGTGATGTTCCCTAAGTGTGTGATTTATTAACTCCTTCATGCATGCATTACAACAAACCAAGGATATTTTCATTTTATGCTGAAAAACAATAACATAACAAAAAAAACTGTAAACTGATCTCTCCAAGGAGTTTTTCAACTGAAGTAATATCTGTTTAACAAACTAATGAACACAATTATATATTATGCAAAACTATAAAATACAATACACAAATTTGACATGTTTATATGAGGACGCAGTATATGCTCCGACCGTCCACACTCACAACAACGGCCTACAGACATAAATAAACCAGCGACTGTGTTCTCCATGACACAGACAGTCTGTGGTTTGTACTTGTTTAACCTTTGTCTAGTTTCTGAACAGACCTGAGGAGCTGTGAGCTCTGAGGGCTAACAGCTAACGGCTGATGTTGGTTTTCTGTGGTTCACATTGAAGAGGACGTCACGGCTCCGCCTACACCGCGTTACTATAGTTACTACCCCAGTTCCTAAACTGTAATGGAAACGTAGCATAAAGTGAGCCTTGCCTAACTATACCGTACTAAGCCGAGCGAGGCCCTGCAATGGAAATGCGCCATATGACTGTGGTGGTCTCACCCATCTTCTATGGTGTGGTCTGCTGGGGCAGCAGCATCTCGGCTGCTGACAGGAAGCGACTGAACAGACTGTTAGAGAAGGTCCTGGACACTGTGGAGGTGGTGGACAACATTTTATATTTCTGTGCATGCCCTTTTATCTAAGAGTGTTTTATTTTATATATTTTTGTCTCTAGCCTAACTTTTGCTGTAACAATGTAAATGTCCCCTCTGTGGGATAAAGAAAAGTATTCTGATTCTGATAAACAATATCTTATTAAACTAAATTGGTATGTTTAACATTCAGGTCTACTCAACTTTATTGTATGTATTAATAAAGCACCTTTAATACAGACATCCAAAGGATTATGAAGAAGCAAGAAACAACAATATATACATTTTTGCTAAACGTATTAATAATGAAACATTAAAATTTTAATAATTAATAAACATATGTCAATAGAATAAACACTAAGGATAACCGTAAAGAAACTACTGATTACAGCTTAAAAACTAATGTTATAACTTTAAAATCAAGAACACCTAAGAGTTTTACTGCTGAAATAATAAATAAAAAACACATCAGTTGTGACTATCAAAATAGTTCATGTCATAGATAGTGTAACGTCCGAGGTGTTAAGGCTTCAAAGATACTTCTGTGTAACAAAAACTCAGGAACTTAGTACTTTTTGGAGCGTCCCAGATAGCGCCTCCGTTTATTCTTGTCGATTCACACATTACATTACATTACATTGCATTTAGCTGACGCTTTTATCCAAAGCGACTTACAATAAGTGCGTTCGACCAACAAAATACAAACTTGAAGAAAACAGAATCATATAAGTACATCAGGTTTCATAGAGCCAAACATTTCAAGTGCTACTCAACTGGCTTTAGATAAGCCAGTCCTTTATTAGTATATAAGTGCTTTGTTAGTAATTCAGTCGCTCGAAGTGGAGTCGAAAGAGATGAGTTTTCAGTCTGCGCCGGAAGATGTGTAAGCTTTCTGCAGTCCTGATTTCAATGGGGAGCTCATTCCACCATTTTGGAGCCAGGATAGCAAACCCACGTGTTTTTGCTGATGGGAACTTGGGTCCCCCTCGCAGTGCTGGTGCAGCGAGCTGTTTGGCTGATGCAGAGCGGAGTGCACGTGCTGGGGTGTACGGTTTAACCATGTCCTGGATGTAGGAAGGGCCAGATTCATTCTCAGCATGGTACGCAAGTACCAGTGTCTTGAAGTGGATTCTAGCAGTTACTGGAAACCAGTGAAGGGAGCGGAGGAGCGGAGTGGTGTGGGAGAATTTAGGA